ATATGTATAATGTATATATATATACATATATATACATATATATATACTTTTATATTTCTGTACTGCCCCATTTTCTAGAAACATTGTCCCTCCACTGTTCTTCCCTTGTTGTTTTATAGAACTACCGTAATCTCTTTGTGTTATTTATATTTAGTTTTCTAAAAAATTAGATTTCTGTAATGCTTAAGCATATGAACTTTTGCCTATTTATGTATATATATATACATATATATACATATATATATACTTTTATATTTCTGTACTGCCCCATTTTCTAGAAACATTGTCCCTCCACTGTTCTTCCCTTGTTGTTTTATAGAACTACCGTAATCTCTTTGTGTTATTTATATTTAGTTTTCTAAAAAATTAGATTTCTGTAATGCTTAAGCATATGAACTTTTGCCTATTTATTCAGCATATTCATTAAACCTTACTGCCTGTCAAGAAGATTAATAAACTCTGTGAATAGTAAAATAAACCGCAGAATGGAGGTAAGAACCACTTATTTACTGGGGTGCTCCATTTATGTTACTGAAACAGTTTAGTTTTGATCTTCTGTTCTGTCTCTACTGACTTTTGCATTCACTCTGACTTTACTCAGTTTTAATTACCACCCTTTGTAAACTTTTTGGGTACTCTAAGAATTTTAATGGTGGCTTTCAAATCTGAGTATTAGCCTGGATTCTGCTGCTACCTGTGTACCATTAATCTCTTGGGAATTTTATGAACTGTAAAATTGAAATGATTTATTCACTTCCCAAGACAGCTATGAAGAACAGGTTTCTATTCATGCTTACAATAATAAATATGTATCCAGAGCTTATGTGTATGGATATAGTATACAGGGAAACGTTCAGAGGCACCTCATCTGTCTTTTTACTCACTATACTGAAGAGCAGAGGAATCTTGGCTTTGCTACTTAGTAATTGTAATTTGAGTTACCCCCTGGGCTTTGTTTCCTCCTTTGAAAAATAAGCATTGTGGCACTGCCTGCTTCACAGAATTATTGTAAGCATTCAATGTAATCACATATTTGAAATGATTAGGGCAGCACCAGGCACATAAGTGCCCAATAAATGGTAGCTATTATTAACCTATCATACATCAGGAATGGAGACTCAAAATCATACTCATGTCTGGGATTTAGGTAATCTAATTCTGCCTAATGCAATCCAGCTTTTCTTATTCTATTCCCAGGGTATATGAAAAATAAATGATTATGATCTTACATGTAATAACTTGTCATGAAGTGTCTCCAGACAATCCCATTATTTTAAGCTCACCATTGACTGAATAGAGTTGATGATTGAATCAATTGAGATAAATATGTAAAAACATTGATAAAACTGAAAAGTCCTATACCAATGTTATGACTATTTTAATTAATAACTCCCATTTCACTAGGTACAATTACCTTCTCTGCCATTTCTCTGTTTGGTTCCTAAAATATTTGGTTTTACAACAGTAACATAGAGTTAGTATTTCAGTACTCATTGTGGCTTGCTAAGCAATGGTGAAAAATTATAAGAGAGCGGTTCTTTAAATGTTGCCAGGGTTTTAGCTCAGTGGCACTGCACCTGCCTCACAGGCACAAGGACCTGAGTTCGATCCCTGGTACGGGGCGAAAAAAACAAGAGGAAAAGAGAAATGGGGGTGGGGTGGGGACAATGTTATGAGTCATGACAGCACTGTTAGAATGTGCTTAGCCTCTAATGCTACCTGAAAGACAAACGCTGATTTGGTAGATTCTAAGATATTTAAGAAAGTACATCTCATTACTTTAACTGACATCTTTGTGAATTAGCTTTATTCCTAGATTAAAAGCTATGAAGAGCCAGATTTTATGCAAAGTAAAATACATGGTATATAATTATGGTAAAAAAAAAAAGAAACCATAACGAAAACAATTTGCACATTTCCTTCAATTGGGTAAGCACCTTACCAAGAGCCTGAGCACTTAGGAGTGTTTTTTTTCCCCAGACGTTAGGGGTTTGTTGTTGTTGTTTTAATTACAAAGGTGTAGTGTGTCTGCTGTCACAGGATGGGAAGATGTGTCAGGGATGTTAACAAGCTTGTTGTCCTCAGTCATACGGGGCTGGTGAGCTAAACAACACTGAGAAAACTGAGTATTAGACACGGGGCAGAAAGGATGGAGCTCCCATACAACTCACTCCTCGCTTCTCTTCCCCCACCCCCGCAGATAATAGCTAAGAAAACCATGCCGAGGTTAGCATAAGAAGAGATGAACGACCAGGCGAGTAGGAAGAGAAGAGGGAGGACAGGCTGGCAAAGGCGCCTGAAATGACGCTGATTGCCTGTGTAGTAAGCGTGGGGCACCTGTCCAGATACAGAGTGCGTGCTCAGAGGGGCTGGGCCCAGTGAGTTCC